GATTGTTCCTGTTAATTTGCTGGGTTGTAATAACACTACTATGTTCATGTAGGAGACTGTCCTTATTCTTAGAAGGTGCATGCTAAATTTTAGAACTGTCTACAGTGAAGATATATTACTTTTATACTCCAAATGGGAATAAATGGAAAGGTCTCTCTTCTACTAATTTTTCCCCCCAGGCCAGTCTCATTACTGTATAAGCCCCATATCACTGTCCCTGGGTTTCTGTTTAATGCACTACTGAGTTGGGTGCCATGCACACTTGTGATGGCCCCAGTGATGCAAGAGGGCGGTGGGAAGGCACCGACCTGGCTCTCAGGCGGGAGGACGATCTCATCATAGGGCCCCACGATGGAGCTGGCAAACTTGCTGAAGATGATGGGCTCCTTTGGCACGGGCACGTTCTGTTCCTTGCAGTGGTCCACGTAATTCATGCCCACACACACCACCTTGTCTGGCCGTGTGACTGGAGCCAGGAAGGTCACCTCTGACCGTGGAAGGACTGGCAGCTGGGCAGCCAAGGCCCTGCAGAGACCAGAGCAGGAGAGAGGGGCTGGTTGGGAATAGGCCAGCAGTCCTGCTACAAGTTTTGCTGTTTAAAATACATTTTTAAATCAGAGTTAATGTGAAAATCAAGGCCAACTATTATCCTTTGACATCAGAGCACTGTTTAATATTTATCCAGTTGGATTTCCTTTCCCCCGCTGGGTAACACACATCCATGTAAGGGAATTTGGAAGGTGCAGATGGCAGTGACTGAGAAGGTGCTGCTTCTACCTCTTCCCCTTCCCCTGGCCCCCCTGCTCGGGCCTCGGAGACACCCTGTGTCCTGTGCAGCTCTTCACAGCTACTCTCTTCTTCTCCTCTCCTCATTTTATATGAATGATTCCATACTATATACACCTTATTAAAACTGTACCATATACATATTTTAAAGACCTCGCCATAATAATACATTATGGCTACATATTACTATACTGTAGAGACACACCCCTTCCAGGGATATGGACGTGGGCTCCAACCTTGGCAGAACATGAAGTTTAGGAAACATACTTTTACCCATACTGTGTGCAGATTAACATTTGTATTTTTGCCAGCTTAAAAGGTACAAATGGTATCTCAGAGTGCTCTTACTGCCCATCAGTACCTTTAGAACAGATACCATAGGGCTCCTGGCTTCAGAAGTCCCTATCTAATCTAGCCCAAACCCAAGAATCCTTAAGAAAACTTCTTTGCAGTCCTCTTTCCCCTAAGGAGCCAAGAGTCCAATCAGTCCCCCCACTTCCCAAAGTGCCACTTAGGACTGCAGGTCCCAGACCCTGTTGGCCAGCAGCAACCTCACCCCCGGAGAAGGCAGTACGATGAAGTGGAGCTCTGTGGCCTTGGGATATCACTCTCCCTGGGCCTCAGTCTCCCCCTCTATAAGCCGAGGCTACTGTCATATTAAGATTTCTAAAGTTCTGCATTAAGAGAATTCGGGAGAAAGGAAAGCAGAGGCTACCCTGCTCCCTTGCAAAAGAGCTAGCTGCTGGACCTGTTTCCCAGGCCAAGGAGGGGGTGGGAGAAAGGAGAGGGGAAACAGGGCAACCACCACAGGGCGATGATACCCACTGATTTACCTTCTCGCCGCTGACAGAGTGGACTCTCCCTGCTCCAGGAACTCCACCATCGTCTTGGGCAGGGTGGGGTCGAAGGCATTGAGGTTGATGACCCCCCCACCACTCCCCGACTCCAGGCCCAGATGAGGTCCCATCAGGTGGGGTGCCTGGAACTGCACCAGTCTCATGTGTCTGGAGGGCTGGAAGGGCCACCACTGAGCATGCAGCAGAGCTGTGAGCAACCTTTTTCTAACAGGGAACAGCATCAGAGTCTATGGAGAAAAAAGCAGGTTGCAGAGCACAGAGGGTGCTGGCAAGCTCGCCAGGGGCCAAAGCCCCTTGATCTGCAGCCCCAGGTCCTTCGAGCTCCAGCCCAAGCTTCTGGCACACCACATGGAAGGGGTCTGGGTTTGTAAGTTATTTCATCCTGTCACACTTCATAAGATGGTTTTTCGCTCAGTTCAATGCACACATGACCCCTTTCTAAAGGAGCAAATACGTCATGTCAGGCTCTAAGCTAGGTGCCAGGGAGTCCGGCGTTCCTTCATCCAGTGCTTTCTGAAAGCGTACACTGCCTGGCACGACGTGGCACTGGCACAAACAGTGTAGCTCAGACATACTCAGCCTTGCCATGCTGCCCACAAGGAAGACTGATGTTAACAGCTGATGCCATGTGATTCAGCAATGGGACTTCTGCTGTGACAATCGAGGGTCCTGAAAGTGTGATCATGGCAGTGTGATGAAGTGGAGTTTTGTGGCCTTGGGATAATCACCCTGCTGGGCCTCAGTTTCCCCCTTTATAAACTGAGGCTGCTGTCGTATAAGATTTCTAAGGCTCTTGACTAAGAGAGTAGGTGAGAAAGGAAAGCGAGGCTACCCTGCTCCTTGGCAAAAGAGCTACCTGTTGGTTTGGTTTCCCGGAAGGAAGACTTGTCTAATTTCTTAAGGAAGTGATGCTAAACTGGACTTGGAGTTAGATAAGTGGAGCAAGTCACATGCAAATAACCATTGGGGAAACTGGCTTCACACCTGCCACAAATGCGTCTTTAAATGCCAATTTGATCCTGTTACCCTCCTACTAAAATGCTTTCCCCTGCTGACATTATCAAGCCATAATCCTCCTGTTCCACCTTCTAGGAGCAGCCCCCACCTACCTCCTCAGAGAGTAAACATTTACTTTTTCCTGCTGGAGCACACACTGCCTGAGGCAGGCTGAAAGGGGCAGGGCCTAGGTCTGAGAGGCAACTATGGGTTGTCTCCTCTCTGGTTCTGTGGCCTCGTCTGTCTCTTTTACTGTTGAGTCCACTGTGCCTGGGACACAGAGGCTCTTAGCCACTACTCTCTGCTGAACAGGGGCTTGACTTTTCACTACTTGGGAAAGCTTGGTGATTGCCAAGCTCAGGAAGCATGGCTGTGCCTTCCCTCTTCAAATCACCTAGAAGGTATTGACAGGGCTCAGACCCTGTTTCAAGTTCCAAGCTTCACTCAAAAACAAACCCCTTCATCTTGTTTTATTTCTAACCTAAGTCTGGTCTCCAACCAGTCCCTTCCATAGTTGGTTCCTTACTTTAAAGACCAAGTCTTTGTGTTCAGGCATGTGTAGGTAGTCCCAGACTCCTGGTTCTCACCCCAATGATTCCATCTGCCTTGTTCATCTAGAGATGCATTAGACCCAGGTACGAGCTAACCACTGTGCTGGCTGATGAGTTTGACAAGAAAACGAGGGTTTGAAGCCTCCTGCCGTCCTGTCTAACACAGGTCCAACCATGCCACTGATAAAGTCTGTCCTAGCCAAACTGCACACACTCAGATGCTCCATCCGCTAAAATACAGGGTCTGGCACAAATAACACACCTGTTTATTATAAAATCCTAAGCATATAATTCTGTAATATAGCAATATCACACTCAAGCACACCACAGAACACTTGAGGTGAAATGTTCAAACTGCTATCCATTTCACTGGAGACAGTCACGTACCCTACCAACCACACTCAAGCAGACGTTACTCCTGCTGGACCCTGTATATTCGACAGCAACTGCTCCCACTGAATGCCAGGTCTCATTAAGTGCTTTATCCACATCGTCTGATTTATTATGATGATTGTAGAAGGTTGGTATTGTTAGCCTCATTTTACAGATAAAAAACCAAGGTTTTGCGAAGTTAAGGGATTCTCCCAGGTTTCTAAGGAGGGAAAAGAGCTGGGACTTGAATCCAAGCCCAGGTGGTGTGCAAACAAGACAATCCAGCTGTAGCCCACTCCCACCTTCACCCCCCAGGGCACTTTAGCCCAGAAGACTGTGTGAGAAGTAGGGACCTCCAACAGGAGACCCTCTAGAGACCCAGACACCCTGCCTGCTCTCGGCCATGCTCAAGGAAACTTGGTCACCTGCTGGCTTGCCACCTCAGAAATAAGGCTGGTCACCTGCTCTCCAAGATTACCGCAGGCCACACAGACTGCAGGTTCTCACCTGGGCCTACCACTATACCCTCAGGCAGTGAGCCCCATTTTACAGGCCGTGGCACTGATGCTTAAAAAGGAGCCGTCACCTGCCAAGGTACCCAGTCAGAAAGTGACCCTTGTGCTTCCGCGGTTACCGCTCTGCAGCAGGGCCCGAGCTCCATCCAACTCTGCCAAAGGGTGCCTAGGCAAAGCCGCCAGAACGAGAGGCGCAAACAGCGCACAAGCATCGCAACTTGGAGACGTGTGTACCTGGGACCGCATCCCACCATCCGTCCACACTCACGGCACCCTGGGCCAATCCCTCGATTTCCCTACAGGCTTAGCTTGGTCCCCTGCACGTAGGGGGCGCTCACGACGGCCGGTCCGTGTGGTCCGAGCAGCCGGGGTCCGAGGTCCAGTCCTACCCTAGGCGGGGCGCCTCCCGTGGGGGAATGCCCGCGCAGGACCACCGGAACCCGACCTACCTGGCCGCAGCGGCCGGTCTGTAGGGCGCCCCAACGCTATCGGACTAGGCTCGCTGGACCAGAGTCTGGGGTTGCAGGGCACCTAAAGACTGGTGCCACGTCGCCTTACCACTACGAGCGCCGGGAACCCCCACTGCATTGCACAGGGTGTCCTCTCCAATAAGCTGTCGGCAGAGGCGGCGCTCCGTTGTGACGTCCCGTACGATGCCCAATAACAGGGCTCCTCTTCCTGCTCCGGAAGTCACGTACGGCGGGGCCGACAGGCGCGGGAAGGCTGGTGTTCTGCGGGTTGGACTTTTAGGCCTGGGAGGTGGCCCCGCGGGAGCTTGTTAGACCTTAACCTGTGCTTACAGCGACCAGAGAGCCAGTGGTTCTTTTCGCTTTGCGCTCTGGGCGCCGCCCTCCCCAGCCCTCACCCCGCGCCGCGTCGGGTCCCTGCCTCTGAGCCGGCCACCGTTTTTTGTTTTGTTTTGTTTTAATATGGAACGCTTCTCGAATTGGCGTGTCATACATGCGCAGGGGCCATGCGAATCTTCTCTGTGTGGGTCCAGTTTTAGTATATGTGCTGCCAAGCGAGCACACAGGTACCGTTTTGATATTGGGCAAATGCAGTAGAAAAAACCAAATTAATAGCGCGCTGGTCAACAAAGACAAATCTCTGGCAGATTATTGTGGACAGGAGGGATGATTGCACCCTCTTTGCATATGGGGTTGGATGTGCTTTGCGCAAGATGATACAGGCAGTGAGGCGGGAAACCGCTATTTTTGACCCCAGGTACCGCCTTTTACCACCATCTGCAGCAGCCCTGTCTTCATATGCTGCGTTGGGCTCAGGGCAGGATAGTAGGAGGCACAATTTCCAGCGTCTGAGGCCAGGCATTTTCTTGGAAAGGTGATTTAATTAAATCAGACAGTTACAAAAGCTCTCTAGGCCTCTGGCAAATAACGACCTATAAGGGGCTGTGGGCAAGAGGGCCAGGACTTAAATCAAGGGCCAGATCATCACAGGCTTTACTTGTCCCAGAAGGGAGTCTGAGTCTTATCTAGAACACAAGAGGCCACTGGAAGGTCCCCACAGGGCAATGCATGGTCAGACTTGCATTTGAGTAGTTTTACTCTGGTCACCCCTCCAAGGAGAGGTGTCAGGGTGAGAGTGGTGCAGATGAGAGCCATGGTGGCTTGGTGTGCATTGGAGATGATGGGAGTTCATAGGTGTGCAAGAGGTAGAAATGACAGTCCCCGATGAGGACAAGAGGTGGGGGAAGGAGGGACAAGGCCGCCTCCTAGGCCTGATAGATGGCAGTACCATTTACAGAAATGGGTTCTGGAGGGACAGCAGTTCTGGGGAGAGGATGGAGAGTGTTTAATGTACATGTGGGACAGTCAAGGGCCACTGCAGAGTGGGCAGTTGGAGTGTGGGTCTCTAGTCTGACTTCAAGATAGAGGTCAACACAGAGATAGAAATGGAACCTATGGGGGTGAGTGTGAACAGGGGGATGCACTAGTGAACCTGGCACAAGTCCCAGTCAGGAGGCCCACCCTATAAGGGTGACAGCACCAGAGGAGCCGTCAGAAAAACAGGGGGACACATAACTTAGGCAGAGGTCAGGGGGCCACACCTGCCAGAAGCCGAGGAGAGGAGGACTTCCGCTTCTGAACAAATGGAGTAACAAACAGGATTTATCCTTGCATGAAACCACCAAAAAAACTCAAACAAATATCCAAAACAATGGTTTTCAAGAAACTGGGCCTTAGGTAGTGAAGAACAGTGATAACAGACAGGAAACAAATGAGGTCCCTGCTTAATGCTTTGAAACGGTGTCCAGGCTGTGGCACAATAAAGGGGGACTGAGGTGGGGCCAGCATGGTCCATGAGTTGCAGACAGGGAGCTGGGGGCCCAGTAGGACCTCGGTAGCTAGAGTTTGCAGGACAGTACTGGAGAGAAGACGCCTGGGCAGAAAGAGAACTTGGCATTCTGTAGCGGTTCCTCCTCAAGTGTTCAGCAGGGTCCTCGGCGGTGCATGCCTCTGAAGCAGCTCCCTGAGACTAGGGAGAGCACCATTGAGAAGAATCAGTGGGAACAGGGTCAAGAGACTGCACGAGGCCAGGAACAGTGTCTCTTTCCCCTAGTCAGGTTGGAACGACAGAAATCGTGCGACACAGGGTAGGGTATGCAAGAAGGCCTTGCCTCTGCAGGGAATAATGAGCCCTAGACCTCACGGACAGATTATAAAATCAAGACCCAAAAGGATCAAACTGTTTCCAAGTAGTTTAACTACATCACAGGCCAAGCTCAATGATGTTTATAGAAATTACAAAATATCCAGCAGCCAACAAGGTAACATTTACAAGATCTTATATCTAAAGATAACTCACGTTCCAAAAGATGGAAAACATGATCCATGGTGAGAAGAATCAAGCATTTTAATGCTAAAATGCTAAAAGTTCCACAGCCCAGTTCTAACTAGCTTCCAGTGGAGTGTTGGGGGCGGGAGATCCCATGAATGGCTCATATAATGGCTCATATAAGAATCTAGAGAGTGGGAGGGGCTTCCTTAAGGTATAGTTTCATTTTGAGCTCCAGGGCTGACCCCTCCCCCTTTTCCCCCCACTTTCTCAGTCTCCATCCCTCAGCCGTCCCTTCTGCTCTGACTTCATTCTCATGCCCCCCTGCCAGTGACAAAATGGCAGCCCCGGCCCCAGGACTCACGTCCATGAAGCTTCAGATGTGAGGGAGGAGAGCCTTTCCCAGCATTCCAGGCTTGGGTCTTCCTGGGCCTCCTTGGCTCCAGGTGCCCACCCTCAACCATTCACTGACCAGGAGAGACATGTAGCAATGGGCTTAAGGCCGGCCTTGGAGGCAGGGTCCCAGACTTCTAGGATAGAGGGGCAGAGTGATCCCTACAGAGACTGGGGGTTACCACCAGAGGAGGGAGAATGCTAGAGAGGCAGCAGACTGATCAGCTGACCTTGCTCAGTGCCCTCAGGGTGCCCCAGGGTGTCACAAGAGAGGAGCTCCTGAGGGCCTTTGTCGCTGGGGTAAATGCAAGGGCCAGCTCAGGCAGAGCAGTGGGGTAGACATAGATCCTGCATCCACACGACAGTTTGATAATTTTTGAAGCCTGAGCAGAGCGGGCCCTGTGCCTGAGTCCAGATGTGAGAACAGAGCAGGCAGGGCTGGGGCAGGTGAGTTAGAGACTAGCTGAGGTTTCCTGGTCAAGAAACAGAACAAAAAGGTACCCAGCAGCTGGCAGAGAGCCCAGTTCTAGCACTGATGGCTCCGGGCGGTCGGGGGCTGTCAGGGGGACTTTGTGGGTTGGACAGTCAGTCTCCTGACTGGGAGCTACACTACCCGAGAGAGGGCTGTGCTCAGCTGCCTGCTCAAGACCCTGATGCCTTCCAGGGCCACACCAGGCCTCCTGCCACACCTGCTCCCATCACGCTGCCCCTTCTCCAGGATCTCAAGTCTGGATAAGGGCTGACTAGGCCTGCAGCCTCCCTGTAAGATATATGCAATTTCCCTATGTAAGTGGGCAGGGTATGGGACAGGTGAGTGGAGGTGCTTCCAGACCCCCTTATCTTGGCCCTGTGCAGGCACAGGATAAGTCCTGACCATTCTGGCTCTGGCACTGGCTGTGGGCTCTCTCCCCGTACACATTGGGCCCCACCTATATCCCACTTTCCTCTCTAATCAGCATCTGGTTGAGCTCACTCCACAGGCAGCTAGAGTCTGCACATTTCTTTTATGACCAGCTGGTTCAGACAGTCCAGGCGATTGTCGCTGACCCTGGCAAAGCCAGGTTGTGTATTGTTTTCAGTGGAAGCAATTAATACAGATTCCTGGATACCCCATATCATTGGATACTAGAGTGCTTATATATTTTTTATTTTTTTAAAGATTTTTATTTATCATTAGAGGGGAAGAGAAGGAGAGAGGGAGAGAAATATCAATGTGTGGTTGCCTCTAGTGTGTCCCCTGCTGGGAACTGGCCTGCAACCCAGGCATATGCTCTGACTGGGAATCAAACCGCAGTTGTTTGGTTTGTAAGCTCTCGCTCAATCCACTGAGCTATACCAGCCAGGGCTTGAGTGCTTATATTTTTTCATGTTAAACCTTGTATTTCTAAAATAAACCCAAATCTGTCATGATGTTAAATATATCACATATATATCTTACATGGCTGAAATGAGATTACTAATATTATGATTTTTACCTTTTTGTTTATAGTTGAGAATGTCCTATAATTCTTCTTTTTTATCCTATTCATGAGGTTTTTTTAAAAAAAATCCTGGTAATACTGGTCTTTAAAATGAGTTGGGGAGGGTTCATAGCCAGCTGCCCCTCCACACACCGGTGACTGGATCGGGGAAGTGCTGAGTAGGTGAGTGGGAAACAGATGTACAAACAGAGGGGCAGACGGCTGGATGCTGGGAGGATGGGTGGCAGATGGCATAGGGATGGATGGTGGTTGGTGGACGAGTGGAGAGACAGATGGGCTTTCCCTACTTGGAGCTCTGTGGCCCATTGTGAAGCACATGGTTCAGTGCTTACGTCCAGCCTAGAGTCCCCATCCTGGGTCCAGTCCTGATTCTGCTCGTCAATGGCTGAGAGGTCTTAACACCTTTCAGCTCAGCCTCCTGATCCTGCCCACCAGGCTGTGGTCAGAGTGAATAGGCTCCACACAGTGGCCAGCCCATGGCCAAAGCAGGCCATCCCACCCGACAGCAGAGTCAGGCGGCTCCCTTGCTGGGACTGTGCCAAGGTCCTCAAGCTCAGGTGGGGAACTTTTGCTGTGTGTGGTGGGGGAAGGGGGTCTCGTCATTTGCCCTCCTGGCTACTGCTGATGCCCATCCGTCAAGGCTGGTGACCCATGGAGGCTTGCATCTGCGTCGCTGTGGAGATGTCATGTGGCCCAGGGTCTGACCCTGGAAGACTACCCAGAATCCACCTCTTCTCTACCCCCAAGTTGGGGACCCCACTGCTGCTCCTCCCCTGGCCTAACCCTTGCGGTGCTTAGTTACACTTTGAAAGAAAAAAGCAGGAAAGAAAGACATAGTCAGGCCAATCCTGTTTCTGCCTTGTGACCTGCGCCCTCCAGCCAAGGGGATATGCGGGGATTACTCCCTGGAACAGGCACGGAAAGTGACCTGGGAATAAATATAAAGGGCCCCTCAGGAAGGTACCCCGCCTGCTGGCTGGCTTTTCTCATAAAGGCTACCACTGTGGCCATCACACCCCAACGCTGCCTTTGGCGACATTACATTAGGAGCTGGAAATCCAGCGTAGAAACTGACAAATGCTACAATTTCAAGGCATGTTAAACACTTACCAGGACAGCGCTGGGCAGGAGCCTGGATAACAGCAGAGATGGGAGGAGCCGGACAGAAATTCAAAGTCAGGATAAAGCCAAGGAGAGTCCCTCTCTTCTGTCAAGTTTATTTTATTAAAATATACAGAACTGAACATTGGTGGGCACTGAGAACAGGAAGTGCCCTCCCGGGCTGTGCCCAAGGGAGCTGCTTCTGCCATGCAGACAGGCGGCCAGGCCACGTCCCAGTGTCACCCTCTCCTGACTGGAAGAGAGCCAGCCTGGCCCAGCCGAGGGAGACGGGGGACAGCGAGGGCCCTCCCGAGGGCCTGGGCCCGAGAAGCAGAGCTACGCCAGCTGGGAGGACTGGACTGGGGGCAGGGGGAGAAGATCCCTGAGCCAGGGAAAGCTGACGCCCTCCTGGAGGAGGGGAGAGGGACCCCCCCAGTCAGACTGGAGATGGGTATCAGTGCAACTCCAAGGAGAGGGCCACTTGTGGGTGCCAACAAGTCCCCAGGGCCAAGCCAGACCAGTGTCCATGGCCTCCGCCATCCCACCCTGCCCCGCGGGTCCTGCCCACCCGGAGCCAGGCTGAGCAGAGATGGGGCGGCGGCCGACGGAATGTATGTTGAGAATGTTCCTCAGAAGGGCCTGTGCTGCCTGAGCAGGCAGGAGCTGTCATCTGTCCCCCAGAAGCCCCTGTGAGCCTGCCGCCCACCTCAGGCCCCTCAGCCCGCACTGCTGTTTCTGGCCTCAGGTGGACATTGGCCACACCCCCAGAGCAGAACCTAGCCAAGCAGAGTCCCGGGGTTTGTGCTTTTGAATGTTGGTGAGCTGGGCTGGGGGGAGGTTTTGAGCCCCCACTGCTCTGAGGCACAGACCTGACCCCAGGTTCCCTCCCCGGGCCACCTGTATCAGGGATAGGGGGACTCATGCTCAGCCCACCAGGAGGGCCTCGTCTGGGAAAAGCAGTGTCTTCGGCTCCCCTTGTGGGCTCAACCTGAGCTGCCGGGCTGCTTGTGCTTTTTGTGTGGAGTTGGGGTGCGCCTGTGTGGAGTGGTGGCAAACACTGCTGGGCCGAGGGAGACAGAGGCTGAGGGACCGGGACGGAGGAGCCCTTCCTGGGCTCGCTCTCCACTGGGCTCCTGGGCTGCCAGTCCCTGAGCCACGTGACCTCTTCTCAGGACCTATAATGACCTTGGGGTGGACAGTTTAGAGCCCGAATGGTCGGGGCAGCCCCACTACTGCATCCCCACTGAGCAGGCCTGGGCAGTGGGGGAGGGCTTCTCCCACCCAGCTGAGTCAGCAGACAGGCCCCTCACAGTCTCTATCAGGAAATCCAACCCTGAGCTTAAGGGCCCCCTTCCTGGGATGGAGGGACAGGAGGGCCCTGTAGTCCCTCATCACTGGAGCAGAACTCACCCAGGAGTCCCTTCCAGGAGGCAGCAGGCCCTGCCCCCACTACTTCTTTCCTTGACCCCCAGCTTCCCCTCCAGGGTCCTGCAATGAGCGGCCTTCTGGGAGTGTGGATAGTGGGCTGGGAATGGCTGGGGGAATGAGGAGCCCAGAGTCTGGTGGATGGGTGGTAGGAAAGATGGGGGCAGGAGGGAGAGGTGACTGGGCTCACAAAGGAGGGGCCTTGGCGCTAGAGACTGGACCATCCTCTGAAGGAGCTGAGCACTTTCCTGCTCACATCCAGCAGCCAGTGGCCATACACACTGCTCTCCCATCAGCCCACCCCAGAGGCAGCCTCGCCCTGCTGGCCTGGGACATGGCTGGCTGGGGGAGTGCGACTCATGTCACCTGGACCCAGCTCCCAGCCGGATGTAGTTCCCCCCCCCACCTTGGTCCCCCTCTGACAGCCCAGAGGAATGGGTGTGTTTCTGTGTCTGGAGCAAACTTCACTTTTTGCAAATATATTAGAAAAATGTTTCTCCTGGAGGCTGTTCCTGGTAGGATTGAGGTGGTGGCAGTGGCCACTTGGCAATACCCCATGTGTCCTAGATGACGTTCTCAAACAGCTGCATGGACCTCATGATGTTCTCGTCCTGTGTGGAGAAGGGATGAGAGGCCGGGTCGGGGCAGTGCTCATTTTCGACCACCTTAAGCAGATTCTGCACAGGGACCCGGAATCCATTCTGCAGGGCCTGCTGCCTGTGTCCCTGGGCTATGGGGTACTGGTCAGGCACAGCCTGTGTGTGGCCCCATGGCCTAAGTGCAGCCCATCTGGGATTGACTAACTCACTGAAGGACAAACCTCCCTGGATGCTCACCCAGATGGAGGCCAGGGTCACTGTGGGAGCAAGGTCAGTGGCAGAGGTCCAGAGCGCTCCCTCCCCCACACCCCGCAAGGGTGCTCTGCACTGGAGGGTCAGCAAGCTGGGGAGGCTCCGGGAGCCTGTTCCCCAGAGTGACCCTTCCCAAGGGCCACGTGGCCCCGCCCCCCTGCCGGCCCCACACCTGCCCTCTCTAATTCAAAGCACACAAAGGAGGTACAGGGTGCCCAAGTGGGCTGTGGCTGGCAGGAGCGGGTAGGGAGCAGATGGGTTCAGATGGAAGGGTGGAAGTGGAGCCTGGAGGTGGGGAGTGGCTTGAGGGCCGGCAGGGGCAGGACACTGAGTACTCTCAACTCCCGAGGACACCTACCTTCTGACAGGTCTCCAGAAACTCATCAATGGTCACTACCCCGTCCTGATTCCGGTCCATTTTCTGCAACCCAAGCCACACCCTCAGTGAGTCTGTGTCTCACCAGGGACTGTCGCTGCCCCAGGCCTGAGGACGTGGACTGTTGGGTCTCCTCCACCCCACTGTCCTCTCTGTCCCCTACACTGGATCCCAGCCACATACAGTACCCTTCTGGGCCCCTCCCACCCCCAGCTGCTTCTGACAGTCTCCTGGATGACACTTCCAAGAATGGGCCCTGACAGGCAACCAAGGCAGATGGAACGACTGAGGCACAAGAGGGCCACATGCCCCACGGACACAGAGAAAAGTCACCCCAGCCCCACTCATCTTGCAGTTTCCCAGGTGGAGCTGGGGGAGCTCTCAGAAGGCACCAGAACACTGGCCAGGATGTCAGCCATGACCCTCGATCCATGAGCTAAGGTTCAGCTGATCGAGGAGGGGATGGTGTTTGAATTTGCTCCTCTGGTCCTGACAACCAGCAGAGTGAGGTATGCTCATTTAACCTCCTTGTGGGAGGGGGTGCTCCAAGAGGGGAGTGGCGTGCCCTGGGCGCCCTGGGCAGGGGCCTCTTCCTCTTCCCACTGCCTTTCGCAGCTGCCGCTTACCCAGGCCGAGGGCTCACCTGGAAAAACCTCTCCACATGCTCCAGAGGTGCGTCCTCCCGCACGAGGGGATAGGTGTGCCGGCCCATCATGTCATAGATGGACTTCACGATGGCCAGCATCTCCTGGGGTAGACAGAGGAGCTGGCTTGAGTCCAGCTGCAAGAGTAGGGGGGAGGGTCCAAGGGCCCGAGGGGAGGGGCTGCATCTGCAGTTGGAGAGCCTTTCTAGGGCGGTGTGAGTGAGAAGGGGCCCCCATCAGCTCTGCCCAGGGATAGCTTCGGACTCTCCGAAAGAAGTTGGACATAGGTTTTTTGGCTCAAAAATTTAAAACTATAGCAACTAGTTCATATACAAAAGAATGTTTGAGCCAAAAGAATCCACTGTGGCCCTGAGTGGTGAGGGCCCCCCCCCATCTAAGGGGCCACACTGCCCCTTGATAGGTGGGAGCCAAAGCCAGCCCCACTCTAGGCTTCTCCACCTGTGTCCCCCGAGGCCTTCCTGGAAGAGGGGATGATCCTAGGACACTTGTTAGACTGGATGCAGACGTGTGGTGTGGGGCACACGGCCTCATGCTCCCTGCACTCAGGGGTCCAGGCCGGAGAGCTGCCTGGTGGCTGCCTCCCACCTGGTCTCTGCACGGGGAGGGGAGGCCAGACGGGCCATGCCCCAGCCGCCCCATACCTCTTTGGTGATGTAGCCGTCCTTGTTAATGTCATAGAGGTTAAAGGCCCACTTGAGCTTCTCCTGGACGGTTCCTCGCAGGAGGACAGAAAGGCCCACCACGAAGTCCTGGGAAGAAAGAAGGTCGAGGAGTGACAGCCGGACCCCAGATTCGATTTCCAGTTCACTGTGTGGCTTCAGTGAATTCACAGCTTAGAGGTGAGGAGTGTCCATTACAGAGCATGCAGGTGGTGTCCATCAGGTCGACAGGGTGTGTACACAGATGCACACATATGTGCATGTATGAATGCATGCTCATGTGTGCATTCATGAGCGTGTGTGTGGCAGGGATGACATGGTGGCTGTTACTGATCTTCACAAGTAAAGGCATTCAAACATATGGTGTCCTGGACTGCAGTGCACCGCTATGATGGAGGGGCTCTGGGGGCACTCTTTCATAAAAGGAGTACCCGACTTGTAGTTTACCAGTATCTGCATGTCAGGGTGCTTGAAAACGTCAAGCCTCAAAAGCTAAGCTAACAGTGCTCAATCCTGGGTCAGGACAAACCTCCGAGTGTGATGAATAATTGATCAGTAATGTGACAAGAGAGAAGTTCCAATAGCTTCCAATGGAAAAGCCCACTGTTGTGTTAGAACAGCCGGTGGGGCATGAGTCTTTCCCTCCACTCCTGCAAGCCTGCAGGTGGAGCCCCCGTGCCCATGGGGTCCTCGCAGGGAATTCGGAAAGAAGGGGAGCAGAGAAGGCCTGTCCCGGGAAGGCAGAGGGTGGCGGACTGCGGAGGGACAGGGCCATACTCCACGGGGCGTAGTCCTCACTCAAATGTTATACTTCCTGGATCTGAGGAAGCCTGTGTCACAAATGAGAAAGCCTAAGGGGAACAGAGGAAAGCAACTGGGAAGAAACAAACATTATTACAGGAAAAAGAAAACTGAACAAAAACAGATTTGGAGATTGAAAATCTCCAAATCCCTAAAATCTCACATCCCTAAAATAAGAAGCTATAAAAAAAGGAATCACTGAGAACAAGAGAGAGCTCTTGGGAATTAAAAATAAGAATGCAGAACAACAGACTTAGAAGAAGGGTGGCGAAGTCAGTGGAATCTTCCATGACGTAGGGGAAGGCAGAGCTGCAAACCAGACAGGAATGACGAGAAAGAGAGCCCCCCCCCCCAGGCACGGGGAGGACTGGAGGACACAGGAGAGCAGGTCAAGAAGTGAGGGGAGGTTTCCCACACCTGCAAACAGCTCGCCGTGTTGCCTGTAGGCATATACCCTGATGCCATTTCAGAAAAGCAACAGCAAAGAGAGGATACTACAGGCTTCCAGAGAAGAAAAACGAAACCAAAGAGAAAACCGGAACCGAGTCCCTTGCACAGGGTCAGGGGTCAGCAGGCTCTGCCTTTGACAGCAGCACTGGGGCAGGAAGCCAGTGGCACAGCGGCCACCATCCGAAGGGGCACAGCTTCCCACTTCCGCTCTGGTCCCTCTCAGCATGTCAGGCAAGAGTGAGAACAGAATGAAGACTCTCCCAGACATCCAAACACTCAAAGTTACCTCCCACATACTCTTTCTTTCCTAGGAAGCTGCTGGAAGACGTGCCCCTGAAAAAAGAGAGTAAAGCAGGAAAGAAGAAGGTGACAGGATCCAGGAACCAGGAGACCCCAGTTCAGAAGAGAGGGGAAGAGATCCGCAGGTGGTGCTCCCAGGACCCAGTGGACGAGGGAGCCCGGAGGCTGGGGAGGGGTCCTCAGAGAGATGCCCAGTCAGATGACTGGAGAAGGGCCTGGGGTGGCGTCAATGCCGAGGTCGCAGGTACCAGGCAGGTGAAAACTCAGGACGGTCGTCGAAGGCAGGCCAACTCAGAACACGCGCAGGGGAGGAGAGCACTGCCACAGTTTACCACACGGCTTCCTGGGCTCGCACTCCCACGATCAGGGTAAACTGTGAGTCCTTGTCCAGTCGGAATCCTGTACTTCTGTTGGAAGCTGGGCTTGAGAAGGTGTGTGCTTGGGGGGCCCAAGTCCTCCCCACCAGACAGCCCCAGGCCGTGGCTAAGCCTGGACAGGTGGGAAGGAGTAGGGGCATGCTACCGGGGGACATGGGGACAAAGAGTGGCAATTGGCTACAACAGGAGAAGGCTGACTCCTCAGGTGTGCAGGGTGTTAACTGCTGTTTTCCAAGGTACACCCTGTAACCTATGGGATGCTTGAAGTCATGCGTGTGTTAAAGTGAAGAAAATGAAAGAATGCTGGTATTGAGCAGAAACCACAGGACAGTTGTTTGAGATGGAGGTGAGGTCATCACTGAAGTTCGTGATTTACTTAGTGACGAAGACTCACAGCATCTCTGAGTTCGGGTCACTCCCTCTTCCTGGGTCTGACAGGCTTCCCAGGGGGAGACAGAGATATGGAGTGCCACATCGGACCCTCTTCTCGTGGGGCCATGGGAGGACACTGCTGTCCTCTCCTCCTGCCTTCACACACCTGGGCCTGAAGTGTGGAAGGCCTCGTGGTCAACCACAACCAAGAAATGTCCCCATACAGTGTTCCTAAGTGTGTAAAGTACAGCCGTGACAGCACCCGGAGAGAGGTTGTTGGGGACCACCCTGCCTGGTTTCAGGAGCTGAAATCCCCCATGGCTAAGGCTGAGTGAGCAACCTTCAGACCATAAGCCACTAAGGAGACAAAGCTTGTCTCCCTGACAGGGGTGCTGCCTCCGCTCCTTTTACTTCACCCTGACTGGCCCCCAGTGCATGATCGGTTAGCCGATGACGGGTAAGATTCCTCAAGGGAGGGACGACCTAAGACAGGCATGTGATCACATGGAGGCCCCAGGGAAGGACTTGGGGGGCTATTGATAAAAGGGGTGATGGACCCTTGCCCCCTGGCTTTGACAAAGCTTGAGTCCTCAGTCTGTCTCCAAGAAGTCTCCAAAAATTCTTTGGCTATCTGCCTCCTCTGCCTGACTTAAGCTTGGAAACAGTGACTGAGGGTGGTACAGCCTTGTGCTGAGAATGGCAGGCTCCCCAGGTGATCCCGCAAAGGAAAGAATTCCTAACAATCCTGTAAAGCCTACTTTGCTGAGAATGCTTTTAGGTCAATGATAAAGGCCTAAGCAAAAAGTGAGTTTATGTTCCCAAAGTTCTGTAGCCTTTTAGCTGGCAGACCCTGACTTAGGAGAAGCCTTAATGGTTCTTTGTATACTATCTACTGTTTACTACCTGACAATGATTAATAAGTTGTACCTGAACTCCTGCGCAAAAAAAAAAACAAAACAAAACAAAAAAAAAACAATAGAAGCCTGTCTAGGCAAGGGTCAGCACTCTCTCCTTGAGAGAGTTGCCAGGCCGCTACAAGCCGCTTTCCCCTTGAGAGGGTGGCCAAGCCACTCTGAGGTGCTCCCCGCTTGAGGGAGTAGCCATGTGGTCCCTTTTCCTCCACAGGACTCGGTAGTCCGTGTGAATTTGTCTCATGTCTCATCCATGATGCCGCAGGCACTGTGAGCCAGAGCACACGTTAAGAGGTGGCTGGAAATGTACCCTGCGAGGCCACTGGCCTGTCCTCAATAACACACACACGACCCCACGCCCAGCAGCTTGCTAGTTCCAAACTGCCAGCCCCGCAGAGCACTGCTGCACCTGGGGCCATCCCTAGTTGTATGTGACTGCTTGCTCTTAAATCCGAGGTGTGTGAAGCCTATCACATCCACAGCCCTGTTCTGTGGCTGTCCCTGAGGCAGAGCCCAGGAAGGGTGAGGGGTTCCTACAAATGACGTTGTGATGCAGAGAAACCATAGTTTCCAAGCATCCCAGAGTGCCCATAAGGGGTGCCAGGCAGACCACAGAGCAGGAGCTCAGCCAGAGGGTGGGACCAGAGGGTATGACTGCAGGTTGCAGGCCTTCTCTGGTTGCTCACAGCACACCCTGTGTGGTCAGTGTGCCGGAAGCGAGCTACTGCATTGGGAGGTCAGGCAGAGGCAGCCGTAGTCTTCTTGAGACACACACACACACACACACACACACACACACACACACACGTCGTAACTCTTCAAAAGAGCATCAGCCCTGGCATGATGAATGAGGTGCATTAGCAAGGCCCTGGATTGCATCTGTGTGTGGCACTGTCTGTACTCAGGGGGCAAAAGGAGGCCGGTCCCAGGAGGACAGGGGCAGGAGGCAGGCACTGAGAGAGAATGTGGGACCACAGCTCCAGGTGGCAATGGTAAGGTTAGCTGGTTTTGCCAGTGTATTTTCTGATAGTCTTTCTGGTGAGGGCAGGGAAGTTACACTATTTTCCCATGTCAGTAACTTTAATTAATATGGATCTTAGGACTTCCGCCAAGATGGAGGCATAGATGGATATGCCGTGCCTTCTCACACAACCAAGATTAGAGACAACTAAATATTAGCAACAGAAAACACAGCCAGAACACAGAAAATTGAACTTTTCGGAAGTCTGTTAACAACAAATTCTTCAGCCTGACCGGTAAGGGCCAAAACCAGCAGCTGGTGAAGCGGGGTTGCACAGGAAAACTCGGTCAGACGGACTCAGGCGCGTGGAATCCAGGAGCAGGGTTGGACCTAGTGAGCGACTGAGCGAGCAACCATGGGGGAAACAGCGAGGGAGCAGGGCTGCGGGTTGACTGTGGTCGCACATTTGTGCGCGGATAGACAAGCGAGGGAGTGGAGTGGGCGATTGGACTGGAACCCAGCAGGTCCCCGAGGCAAGCGGCAGGGAGGGCGCCGCCATTTCCCTGCTCTGACCCCACCTCCACATACAGCGTCATAACCCAGCGACTGAGTGGCCCGGCCCTGGTGAACCACCTAAGGCTTTGCTTCTCACCCAGCGTCGTGAAACAGCAGAGGGTGCTGCCATTTCCCCGCTCTGACCATGCCCCCACATACAGCATCACAACCCAGCGACCTGGGAGTCCAAGGCGCACCTCCTCACACTTAAAGGGCGTGAACAGACCAAAAATGGCTCAAGAGGATCTCAAAGCCCCAGAGCCTATAAATCTAAGCAATGAAGAAATAGCAAAACTCTCAGACGCACAGTTTAAAACACTGGTCATCAGGATCCTCACAGAACTGGTTGATTATAGCCACAAATTAGACAAATATATGAAGGCGAAACTAATTGAAATGAATGGAATTGCACAGGACACCAATAGCAATAAAAAGGAAACTGGGACTCAGATCAATGGAGTGGACCAGAAGAAAGCAAATAATGGCCAAACAGAAAAGAGTCAAGAAGCAAGAATTCAAAAAAATGAGGAGAGTCTTAGGAACCTCCAGGACATCTTTAAACGCTCCAATATCCGAATTATAGGGGTACCAGAAGGGGGAAAGGCACAGCCACCAGTGGAAAACTTATTTGAACAAATAATAAAGGAGAATTTCCCCAATCTGGCAAAGGAAATAGACTTCCGGGAAATCCAGGAAGCTCAGAGAGTCCCAAAGAAGTTGGACCCAAGAAGGAACACACCAAGGCACATCATAATTATATTAGCCAAAATTAAAATGAAGGAGAGAATCCTAGAAGCAGCAAGAGCTAAGGGGACAGTCACCTACAAAGGAGTCCCCATCAGGCTGTCAGCGGATTTCTCAAAAGAGACCTTACAGGCAAGAAGGGGCTGGAAAGAGGTATTCCAAGTCATGAAATCCAAAGACCTACAACCAAGATTGCTCTATCCAGCAAAACTTTCATTTAGAATGGAAGGACAGATAAAGTGCTTCTCAGATAAGATCAAATTCAAGGAGTTCATCATCACCAAGACCTTATTATATGAAATGTTAAAGGGACTTACCTAAGAAAAAGAAGATAAAAAAGGTAAAAAAGATGAACAGTGAAAGGACAACAAACTCACAGTTATTAACAATCACACCTAAAACAAAAGCAAACTTAAAAGGACAGCTAGATCAGGAGTGGAAACATGGAAATGAAGATCTCAAGGAGGGTTAGCAACAGGGGAGTGGGAGGAGGAGAAGGGGGGAGAAGGTACAGAAAATAAGTAGCATAGACAGTAGATAGAAAATAGATGGGGGGGGAAGAATAGCATGGGAAATATAGAATCTAAAGGACTTGAGGCACATGGTCATAAACTAAAGGGGGGGTAATGGTGGGGACGGGGGGGTAGGGTGGAGGGGAATGAAGGGGGGGAATAGAACAACTGTAACAGCATAGTCAATAAAAAAATTAAAAAAAATATGGATCTTGTCTCTCGAGAATATACAGAAAAATCGGGGTCACTATAAACACAGTAAACGGACCTGAGTTTCCATTTTCAGAGAATGGAAGAGGCTCCGTCTGAGGCCATGAGGGGGCCGAGTGTCCCCCAACCTGTCAGGACCCTTCCTGGCCCAGGAGCAGCCAGGATGGTGCTCTGCTGGTTGGAAGGTCCTGGGGAGGTACTTGCTCTCCTCCCTTCATGAAAAAGCCTTCCTAGAGTGGAAGCCAAAATCAAGAGTCCTCACGGTAAACAAACACCATGCGAAACTGCAGGATTAACTTCACATGCGGAGAACGTGGAAGGCCCAGAATGACACCAGAGGGTACAGCCTTCTGAGAAGGTGCCAGGCAGAGGGGCTTCAGCACCAGCACCCTCAACTCAGCCACTAACAGCACCCCCACCAAAGACCTGCCCTCAACCACCTTAAAGGGACCACAAGACTCCTCCCTTGGAGACTGAGTCAGAGGGATGACCAGGGGGTAACCTAGACCTTCCCAACACCCACTTGGACACACTGAGCAGTTTGATCCTCTGATTTCTGAACAAGAGTCACCACCCACAATGCCCTGGTGGCCCATCGTACTAGAGTCTTTCCTGCACTTCACTCCCAGATATCTTGGTGCCTCCTGACAGACCCACAGAAACTGGTTACAGGGGAGGGCCTGGGGGAACAACGAATTTTCCTGTTTACTCCTCTATACGGATTGAAGTTTTACTGTGCACTGAGAATAAAGAAGATAGAAACACTGCACGTTCACGCGCGCGTGTACACACACACGCACGCATGCAGGCGCGTGCGAGCCCTTGTGGTCAGCCGGGCAGGGTGTCCGCGCGCCGCAGGGCGGGCTGGCCCGTGAAGGGGAATGCAGCAGCGTTGGGATGAGTTACGAGTTGCTATCATCCCTCCAGCTGCTCCGGGGGCTTTCTGGGCAGCCGCCTGGCCCTGTGCTTTTCCTGCCACTGCCCTTGGGCTGAGTGGTTATCGATCACGCCTGGTTCTCAGCATGGTTTTCTTCCCCAAAGAGGTTTCAGTTTTTCACCTGCAGCTATTTTTAGGGGCCTGGGCTCCACAGAGATGCCTCCTTTAAATGATCCTGTGTCCTGGCCTGGGTGGGGCCCATGGCCACCCACACAGAGCCTGGTGAGGCCCTACTGGGGGGCACTGCAGGGGGACACCAGACTCCTTTAGTGTCTGGCTGGGATGGCAGGAGCCTGCTCAGGTGAGGGGCTGTCTGTTTTCTGGGAAAGGGGGTCAATTCTGGGGCTGGGATCCTGAAACCCCACTGTGAGCACAGATCTCTGAGTGCAGCCCTGTGTCCTTTTCAGATGCAAATTCACCCTGGGTCACTGCCACCTCAGGTGCCTCGGTAGGTCCGAGGGGGTCAGGGGTGGGGGGAGGTTCGGTGGGGCTGGATTGGAAGACAAGGCTGGGACTAGGGTGGTCAGACAGCAAAACCAAATTCCACTGACTTCATAGTTAGATCCAGGGCCAGTTAAGTACAGTCCACTCATTCCCCAGGGGACACCCTGGAGCATGTGTCCCAGGGTCATGCCCAACCCTCTAGACAATCTGAGGGTGTGGCACCAGAGCAGAGGGACACCTTGCAAGATGCGGGGATGTGGGAGGGTATGACAGAGACCTACCTCAAAGCAGATGGCCCCGTTCCCATCAGCATCGAAGGCATTGAAGAGGAAGTGCGCGTAGGTGGTGGCATCTGGGGGAGCAAGGCTACTGGTTGGGGTGTCTTAGGGCCTCCTGGCAGTCAAGTCCCCACCCCAGGCAGCCGTGCTGGGGGTCCACCTGTGTCCTGAGCTGGGGTCCCCCTTCCAATGGGATAGAGGCAACACCAGGCCTCAAGAAAACAAGTGGTGGGGGGAGCACAGAGGTGGAGGTGAGGGTCCCCTCCCCATAAAGGGACACCCACCCTCTGCAGAACTGCCATAGGGACAAAGTGGGGGCTTCAGGAGGAGTGGGGAGCAGGGCATGGGGGCTGGCCTTGGACTCACCTCCCTGAGGGAAGAACTGTGAGTAAATGAGTTTGAAGGTATCTTCATCCACCAGGCCCGAGGGACACTCCTGCAGCAGGAAGCCACCCCCTCAGCAGCCTTAGCCACCCCAGCCTTGTGCCCCAGCCCCACGCTCTGAGGGATGCCTGCTGTCCAGGGCACTGCTGGACTCCACTGAGCCCCGAGGAAAGCCTGGTGATTGGGTGGGTTGGTGCAGGAGGGGTAGGTGGGGGCCCTCGGGCCAATCTGGCCCCTCCATGCACCCCTCCTCTGTGCCAGCACACAGGCACACAGAGGAGCACAGGGCCTTCAGAACTCTGACTCTGGGGCTCGGCCCACACACTCCCAGAGAGGTCTCCCACAAAATACAAGCCTCATCAAGGCCCCAGGATATTTGCTATGCCATGAAAGTTTCCGTAAGGTCTGCCTGGGCTAGAATCCCCCTTTCTGGAGCCAGGGGCAAAAGGGCTTGGTGTGTGAGGGCCTCTCCTGGGGGATGGGTATCACTCACGTTCTTGAAGCCTCTATAGAGGGACTGCAGCTCCTTCTTGGTGAACTTGGTCTGTGCCTGCAGCTGCTCCAGCCCCTCTGGCTGGTGGCGCACCATGGACAGCTCCAGCTCACTGTCGCTGCTATCTGGAGGGGGACACAGACCCAGGAGAGTGGAACATGTAGCCTCCCTTCTCCATCTCGCCACAGGGTGGATGCCAGGCCATGGGCTGATGTCAGGGGCAGAGGGACTTGCTTTGCATGACTAATGTGTATGGCCACATAGGCAGCACACTGCACCAATGGAGGGGCTCTTGTGGAGCAGCACGCTCAGGCCACTCTGCCTCCCTTCTCCTCATACACAGTGAGCCCTCCCCTCTCATCTCACCTGGGGCATGCCCACCCTGTCAGCTACACAGTGGGACAGAGGCTGGGAGCTGGCCCTGTCCTTGAGAAACACTGAACAAGGGGAAGTGAAAGGGATAAAGACAGCAAGACAGACTCAAGGGACCCTCAACCTTCAAGACCCAATTCATGACCATCTCCTCCATGTGGTCTTCCCTGACTTCTGCCAGGAATGGGGAGGTGACCCCTCTTGGCTCGTTCTGCCTAACGCACTGCTGCTGCTTGGCTGCATTTGGTGGGGGGTGTTACTTACATTTGGACTGGAGGTCAGACCACAAGGGCCCACTGGGCAGGGACAAGCCCTTTTGTTTAAAAACAAGACATCCAAATGTTAACTAACTACAGCTGCCTCGGGTGGAGGGAGTTGCATTTCAGGTGATCTTTACTTTTTTATTTATCATTTTTTTATCTTTTCCTAATTTTTTTGGTGTGGCATGGATCACTTTAGAGCTATACACAGAGAAGCACTGAGTACCTAACCTGAAGAGCAGCCTAGTCACATAATTACAGACCTTCCCCCCACACTGTCACCACCCCCACCTCCCCAGGCACCCCACAAAACACTGAATCCATGGTGACCTGTAGCCCCTTTGCACTGCCCACCCTGTGCCTGTGGAGCCCAGGACAGTGCCGGGCATGGAGCACTGCTAACTCGAGCCCATGGAACCCTTTACTGGGCCTGCTCCATGCCCGGCCTCTCCTAGAAGCACGGCTCACTCTCACTAACTCAAGAGCAGCCTGCAAACTGCTCAGAAAGTGGGCTCTACTGCTGTGGTCATGCACACTCCCGAACACTGAGGTAACTATTTCATAGTTTCCTCTTTAAACTGCCAGTACCTCATTCCCTCCATCCCGTACCTCAGGATGCTTCCTATATCACCAAGAATATAGAAGCCACAGAAAACTTCTCCAAGTTCCTACCATCACACCTACCCAATTACTGCATCTATTCCCAGCCTCTGATTTTCCTCCTTCTCTGAAGATGAACTATTCCTGCTCCTGGCTAAGTCTTCCACTTGCACAGTGAGTACTGTCCCCTCTCACCTACTCAAGTATGAGGATCCAGAAATTCTCCCCACTCTTTCCTCTCTCCTCACCATCTTTCTTTCCTCCCTTTAGGATTATCTCATCACCATATGGACAACTGGCAATCTTCAGTCAGTTTAGTATAGGCAAACCTTGCAAGACAGCAATCCCATTCTGGATTCTAACATCCCAAATAAAATCTTACCCAGCTAAGGGGACCTGTTGATTGATGCTCATGGCAACAGTATTTTTTATGGGGATCTGAAGGCATCCCAGGGACCCATCAAAAACAGGATAGAGAAGCACAACATAGGGGATGCACACCAGAGAGAACTGTTCAGTGAATTAGAGGTACACATCAGTACAGAGATCCAAGGAACTCGGTGAACTCCAAGAAAGAGAAGTAAAAAGACAAACACATGTGGGAACAGCACGGTCAAACTGATGAAAACCAAAGAATGAGAGGCAATCTTAGAAGAGCCAGTGGGGAGAGGGAGATACTACAAGAGAAGAGCAGTAAGAAAAACAGCTAACTTCTCACAATAAATTATGTAGATCAAGAGACAATGGAACAACGCTTCAAACTGGTGAAGGAAAAAAACCTTGTTAACCTAGAATTTTATATCCAATGTTAATATCCTTCCAAAAAAGAGAGTGAAATGAAGGCACTTTCAGATAAGTGAGTGACAGAGAATTTGGTGCCAGCAGAATCTCCCTACAAGAAATGCTGAAGGAAGTACTTCAGGACGAAGATAAATGATATCTATCAAATAAAAAATCAAGGTCAGAAGGAAAATAAGAGTTTTGAATTGAATGCATTTGAAAATATAACATAAAATTTGTGGGATGTAGATAAATTACTTAGAGAGATATTTAAAGCATTAAATGCCTATTTTAGAAAAAAGATTTTGAATAAGCTTCCGCTTCAAGAAAATAAAAAATAAAAGAGGAAAATAAACCCAAGGCAAGCAGAAGGAAGGAAATAGGAAGTGGTAAGAGCAGTAACAATGAAATTGAAAATAAAAAATATAGGGAACATTAGTAAAATCAAAAGGTGGTCCTTTGTGGTGGCATAGATGGTTCACATTTTTAGACTTTGTCTGTAAATGTGATGTAATCCCTGAGCATCCTTGGTACCTTCAATTGTTCATTATATACCATAGCTAGATACTTGACTAGCCTGGCTGATTTTCTCTGAATAATATTTCTATTGAAATTCAACTCTCAATACTATGAATGTGGTCTGACTAGATCAGACAACATTGGGACTACAATATCCATTAAAATATGTTCATTAATAAAGTAAAAAAAAGATGGACCTTTGAAAACATCAATAAAATTGATAAAATGTTAGCAAGAATGAAAAAGACAAAAAGAGAGAGAAGGCACAAATTACCAATGGCAAGAATAAACAGGGCAAATAAGTATAGACTCTCCAGACATTCAAAGGATAAAAAAGGAACTTCCAGGAACAAGTCTCTGCATACAAATTCAATAACTGATAAAACAGACCAGTGTCACAAAACCACAAACTGCACAAATTCACCTGCAATGAAAGAGATAACCTGAATAGTCCTGACCAACACTAAACACAAAGGCAAAAATTCTCAATAAAACAGTCACAAACTGAATCCACTGATGTCTAAAAAGAAGAGCATACCACAAATGGACTTTTCCAGGAATGCGAGGCTGATTTAATATTTGAGAATAAATGAACATTATCCCCCATACTAGCAGTCTAAAGAAAAACACATGATCGTACCGATGATGAAAAAAAGGATTTGAAAAAAAATCAAAGGATTTGACAAATTCATAATAAATTAAGTTCAGTAAATGAGAAATGCAAGGGAAATTCCTCAACTTGATAAAAGACACCTACCGAAAAGCTACAGTTAACATGGTATTTAATGGTGAAAGACTGAGTATCTTCCCCCTAAGATTGAAAACAGGAAAGAATATCTGTTCTCCCATCTCCTATTCAACATCATTTTTAAAAAAGTCCTAGCCAATGCATAAAGGGGTTTGAAGGGAAGGGAGGAAGAAAAAAGAAAGGGAGAGAGCAAGGAAAAGCATACCGATCAGACTAAAAAGAAAAACAGGTATCCTTATTTGCAGATGACATGATTACCTATGCAGATAATCCCAAAAAATATACAAAAAATCCTCTAATAAGTGAGTTTAGCAAGGTCACAGCACACAAAATTAACAAAATCAGTCACATTTCTATAGACCAGCAATATACCATTGAAAAAATGTAAAAATAATAGCATTTACAATTGCTTGCCCCACGTATGAAATACTGAGGCACAAGTCTAACAAAACGCACACATAATCTGAATGCTGAACATTATAAAATGCTGATGATGGTAATCGTGGGAGACAGAAATAAGTGAAGAGACATTCCATGTTTGTACGCTGAGAGACCCAACATCACAATGATGTCAATTATCTCCAAAATTATCTACCTACTTACCAAACTTCCAATAAAAATCCCAGAAAGATTTTTTTTGTAGATGTAGACACAACAATTCTAAAATTTACATAAAAAGGCAAAGGAAGCACTAGCTAAAACAGCTTTGAAAAAGAATCAAGCGGGGTAAATCAGTCTATCTGATTTTAAGACTTATTACCATATTTTGCCATGTATAATGCGCATTTTGCCCAAAATTTTGAGGAAAATATAAGGATGCACATTATACTTGGGTAGTACTAATTCCATATCTATATATGTATATAGATATGGAATTATCTATAATCCATAGATATTTATTTATTTTTATTTACATATTTTATTTATATTTACATATTAAAAATCCTTTTATTTACATATTAAAATCCTTTTATTTATATTTACATATTAAAAGTGTAACTCTAGAAAGCAATGATATCCATCTGCAAAATAATACCCTAGAATATGATCATTGGTTTTGTTTCTGAATATAAATAAGTAAAAATTGAATTAAAAAGTTAAAGCCAAAGATTTTTTCCTGAAACTTTGGGCCAAAAACGTGGGTGCGCATTATATGTGGCAAAATACGGTATGCAGCTGTAATCGCTGAGACTGGTCCTGGAGGAGAGAAACGTGCAGATGAACACAATGAAACAGACTGCCAAGAAACAGATCCACACAAATACCACCAGCTGATTTTTGACAAATGCGCAAAAGCAATTCAGTGGAGAAAGGATAGTTTTTTTCCACAGATGGTGCTGGAAAATTGGATATCCGTTACAAGAAAAATGAACTTTGAGTAAATGAAGCACAGATTTAAATGTAAGACATACAACTATAAAATTTCTGGAAAAAACGCAGAAGAAAATCTTCATGGCCTGGGTTTAGGCAGAGTTCTTACACAAGGCAGCAGCAGCACAGAGATTAAGAAAAAAATGATAAATTCTACTTTTTTAATGAAAAAAGAAAACTTGGTCTGTAAGAGATCTGTTAAATAAAAAGATAAACTACAGGCGTGGAGAAAATATTTGCAAATCATGTTCTCTCACAAAGGATAGCTAGAATTTATAATCAACTCTGAGAATTCAGCAGCGAGAAAACAAGCAACCCATGTTAATAAATGGACAGAGGACTTGATCAAATACCTCACCCAAGAGGATGTACAGATGGCAAATGATTACATAAAAGGGTGTTTAACACCATTTACAGTGAGGGAAATCCGAACTAAAACCAAATGAAACACGATCACACACCTGTTAGAATCACT